CGTCGTTGCCAAGCGACGAAAACCCAACCCCGATGGCAAACACCGGGGGGGGCGGCTTGTTTTACAACGTCGTTGCCAAGCGACGAAAACCCAACCCCGATGGCAAACACCAGGGGGGGGGGGGCAGAAAGGGGGTACATAAAATACAATATATTTTTATTTTGTTCGTGTTTCTTTGTGTCAAATGGTCGCTGATACGCACACGCAGAAGGAAGAGTCCCATGTCCAGTCCGTTCAAGGGCTCCAACGGCAGCCTTTCATCGTCGAAGAGGGCCCCAAGCTGTCGGGGACACAGCGGCAGCGACTCCACGGCGCAGGGGTTCAACCAACGCCTGTGGGGATATCTCTTTCGGAACGTAAATCGGTGAGTATTTTTTTTTTTTGTATTTTTGCTCGAATTCTGTCCGGGCGTGATTGTTTTGTCCAAACGCAAGTTTTCATTGTTTTTACTGTCTTGTTGCCTTCTCATCGTTTTGAGTTGCACCATTTCGTGTGACTTGCTGAAAACAACATTTTTGCATATCGTTGTCAAGATTGTTTTGGACATCAATGTTGTTTTTTCTCAAGTTTCGGTTTTATATTTTCTTCTCTTTGGGTTGTGCTTCTTCTTGTTTGGCATCGGTCATTGTGCAGCATCGGCCAGTGTGCAGAGGGTCAACTCAAGAAACTTCAGAAACGGTGCCCATCGTTCCAAGATTTTTTGTCACGATTTTCTTTTGGTCGTCGTCCGAAGTCTCTCTGCGGCGGGTTTCTCTTTTGAGTCAAGAGCTTCGTGTTCATTACCTCAATATCCCCCATCCCGGAGACCCGCCTTTTTTGGATGTCTCCGCGAAATGTTTGGTAAATCGCAGCGAAATTTTCAATTATCGGCAACGTTCATCTCCAGACTCGTTCGTTATTTTCAACATGGAGTCTGTAAACGTTTCTCATTTTTACGTGCCTGTTCACAAATGCCCTCAACACACAAGAGCCGTGGACGAGTTGTACTACCTCTGCGAGGCGGAAGGCAGCGCCACGCACTGCACTGAGGCGGCCGAACTGCTGGAAGGGTAAGCTTCAGTTCCACCGCGTTCTACGGTACATGTACCCCCCCCCCCCCCCCCCCCCCCCCCCCCCCCCCCCCCCCC